CAATTCGCCTTCACTGCAATTTAAGCATCACAAACAGCCGGAAACAAACTATAAGGTTAGTGCTTCTGCTTTGTTTAACCTCAGTGTTGATTTATCTTTCAGAGATGAGGGAAATTTTCTTTTTTCCAAAGGAGAGTGTTGGTTATATGATGACCCTCACAGTGATGCTTCTGGTCACGTGACCGAGGTCATTCTCTGGCCTGACTGCTCAACGATGACCAGGCAGCAAGCAGTCTTATGCTGTTTCCTTGGCACAGTCAAGTTTTTATTAAGTTAATTGTTTTGACTATAAATATTTGCATTAAAATTAAACCCGTATGAATATATATATATATATATATATATATATATATATATATATATATATATATATATAAATATATATATAATATATATATATATATATATATATATTATATATATATATATATATATATATATTTTATATATATATCTTTCTTTCTTCAACACACGCCGTATCCCACCGAGGCAGGGTGGCCCAAAAGAAAAACGAAAGTTTCTCCTTTTACATTTAGTAATATATACAGGAGAAGGGGTTACTAGCCCCTTGTTCCCGGCATTTTAGTCGCCTCTTACAACACGCATGGCTTACGGAGGAAGAATTCTGCTCCATTTTCCCATGGAGATAAGAAGAAATAAACAAGAACAAGAACTAGAAAGAAAATAGAAGAAAACTCAAAGGGGTGTGGATATATATATATATATGCTTGTACATGTATGTGTAGTGTGACCTAAGTGTAAGTAGAAGTAGCAAGACGTACCTGAAATCTTGCATATTTATGAGACAGACAGAAGACACCAGCAATCCTACCATCATGTAAAACAATTACAGGCTTCCGTTTTACACTCACTTGGCAGGACGGTAGTACCTCCCTGGGCGGTTGCTGTCTACCAGCCTTCTACCTAGGATGTATATATATATATATATATATAGTAGTAGGTTGGTAGACAGCAACCACCCAGGGAAGTACTACCGTCCTGCCAGATGACTGTGAAACAAAAACCTGTAACTGTTTTGCATGATGGTAGGATTGCTGGTTTTCTTTTTCTGTCTCATAAACACGCTAGATAACAGGGATATCTTGCTACTCCTACTTACACTTTGGTCACACTTCACAGACACGCACATGCATATATATATATACATACATCTAGGTTTTTCTCCTTATTCTAAATAGCTCTTGTTCTTTTTTATTTCTTCTATTGTCCATGGGGAAGTGGAAAAGAATCTTTCCTCCGTAAGCCATGCGTGTCGTATGAGGCGACTAAAATGCCGGGAGCAATGGGCTAGTAACCCCTTCTCCTGTATACATTTACTAAAAAAGAGAAGAAGAAAAACTTTATAAAACTGGGTTGTTTAAATGTGCGTGGATGTAGTGCGGATGACAAGAAACAGATGATTGCTGATGTTATGAATGAAAAGAAGTTGGATGTCCTGGCTCTAAGCGAAACAAAGCTGAAGGGGGTAGGAGAGTTTCAGTGGGGGGAAATAAAAAGGGATTAAATCTGGAGTATCTGAGAGAGTTAGAAACAAAGGAAGGGGTAGCAGTAATGTTAAATGATCAGTTATGGAAGGAGAAAAGAGAATATGAATGTGTAAATTCGAGAATTATGTGGATTAAAGTAAAGGTTGGATGCGAGAAGTGGGTCATAATAAGCGTGTATGCACCTGGAGAAGAGAGGAATGCAGAGGAGAGAGAGAGATTTTGGGAGATGTTAAGTGAATGTATAGGAGCCTTTGAACCAAGTGAGAGAGTAATTGTGGTAGGGGACCTGAATGCTAAAGTAGGAGAAACTTTAGAGAGGGTGTGGTAGGTAAGGTTTGGGTGCCAGGTGTAAATGATAATGGGAGCCCTTTGATTGAACTTGTATAGAAAGGGGTTTAGTTATAGGTAATACATATTTTAAGAAAAAGAGGATTAAATAAGTATACACGATATGATGTAGGGCGAAATGACAGTAGTTTGTTGGATTATGTATTGGTAGATAAAGACTGTTGAGTAGACTTCAGGATGTACATTTTTTATCGAGGGGCCACAGATATATCAGATCACTTTCTAGTTGTAGCTACACTGAGAGTAAAAGGTAGATGGGATACAAGGAGAATAAAAGCATCAGGGAAGAGAGAGGTGAAGGTTTATAAACTAAAAGAGGAGGCAGTTGGGGGTAAGATAAAAAACAGTATTGGAGGATAGATGGGCTAATGAGAGCATAGGCAATGGGGGTCGAAGAGGAATGGGGTGGGTTTTAAAAAATGTAGTGTTAGAGTGTTCAGCAGAAGTTTGTGGTTACAGGAAAGTGGGTGCAGGAGGGAAAAAGGAGCGATTGGTGGAATGATGATGTAAAGAGAGTAGTAAGGGAGAAAAAGTTAGCATATGAGAAGTTTTTACAAAGTAGAAGTGAGCAAGGAGGGAAGAGTATATGGGAGAAAAGAGAGAGGTTAAGAGAGTGGTGAAGCAATGTAAAAAAAGAGCAAATGAGAGAGTGGGTGAGCTGTTATCAACAAATTTGTTGAAAATAAGAAAAAGTTTTGGAAATGAGATTAACAAGTTAAGGAAGCCTAGAGAACAAATGGATTTGTCAGTTAAAATAGGAGAGGAGAGTTATTAAATGGAGAGTTAGAGGTATTGGGAAGATGGAGGGAAATTTTGAGGAATTGTTAAATGTTGATGAAGATAGGGAAGCTGTGATTTCGTGTATAGGGCAAGGAGGAATAACATCTTGTAGGAGTGAGGAAGAGCCATTGTGAGTGTGGGGGAAGTTCGTGAGGCAGTAGGTAAAATGAAAGGGGGTAAGGCAGCCGGGATTGATGGGATAAAGATAGAAATGTTAAAAGCAGGTGGGGTAATAGTTTTGGAGTGGTTGGTGCAATTATTTAATAAATGTATGGAAGGGGTAGGGGTACCTAGGGATTGGCAGAGAGCATGCATAGTTCCTTTGTATAAAGGCAAAGGGGATAAAAGAGAGTGCAAAAATTATAGGGGGATAGTCTGTTGAGTGTACCTGGTAAAGTGTTGGTAGAGTTATAATTGAAAGAATTAAGAGTAAGACGGAGAATAGGATAGCAGATGAACAAGGGGCTTTAGGAAGGGTAGGGGGTGTGTGGACCGGGTGTTTAAGTGAAACAAAATAAGTGAACGTATTTAGATAAGGCTAAAGAGGTCTTTGTGGCTTTTATGGATTTGGAAAAGGCGTATGACAGGGTGGATAGGGGGGCAATGTGGCAGATGTTGCAAGTGTATGGTGTAGAGGTAGGTTACTGAAAGCAGTGAAGAGTTTTTACGAGGATAGTGAGGCTCAAGTTAGATTTATGTAGAAAAGAGGGAAATTTTTTCCGAGTAAAAGTGGGCCTTAGAAAAGGGATGTGTGATTTTCACCGTGGTTGTTTAATATATTTATAGATGGGGTTGTAAGAGAAGTAAATGCGGGGGTCTTGGCAAGAGGCGTGGAGTTAAAAGAAAAAGAATCACACACAGGGGGGGAGTTGTCACAGCTGCTCTTTGCTGATGACACTGTGCTCTTGGGAATTCTGAAGAGAAGCTGCAGAGATTGGTGGATGAATTTGGTAGGGTGTGCAAAAGAAGAAAATTAAAGGTGAATACAGGAAAGAGTAAGGTTATGAGGATAACAAAAAGATTAGGTGATGAAAGATTGAATATCAGATTGGAGGGAGAGAGTATGGAGGAGGTGAACGTATTCAGATATTTGGGAGTGGACGTGTCAGCGGAGGGGTCTATGAAAGATGAGGTGAATCATAGAATTGATGGGGGAAAAAAGAGTGAGTGGTGCACTTAGGAGTCTGTGGAGACAGAACTTTGTCCTTGGAGGCAAAGAGGGGAATGTATAGAGTATAGTTTTACCAACGCTCTTATAGGGTGTGAAGCTGGGTGATGAATGTTGCAGCGAGGAGAAGGCTGGAGCAGTGGAGATGTCATGTCTGAGGGCAATGTGTGGTTTGGTAATATAATGCAGAGAATTCGTAGTTTGGAAGTTAGGAGGAGGTGCGGGATACCAAAACTGTTTGTCCAGAGGGTGAGGAAGGGTTGTTGAGGTGGTTCGGACATGTAGAGAGAATGGAGCGAAACAGAATAACTTCAAGAGTGTATCAGTCTGTAGTGGAAGGAAGGCGGGGTAGGGGTCGGCCTAGGAAGGGTTGGAGGGAGGGGGTAAAGGAGGTTTTTTGTGCGAGGGGCTTGGACTTCCAGCAGGCAAAGCGTTAGCGTGTTTGATAGGAGTGAATGGAGGAAAAAATGGTTTTTAATACTTGACGTGCTGTTGGAGTGTGAGCAAAGTAACATTTAAAGAAGGGATTCAGGGGAAAACCCGGGAGGGCCGGACTTGAGTCCTGGAGATGGGAAGTACAGTGCCTGCACTGAAGGAGGGGTGTTAATGTTGCAGTTTTAAAAACTGTAGTGTAAAGCACCCTTCTGGCAAGACAGTGATGGAGCGAATGATGGTGAAAGTTTTCTTTTTCGGGCCACCCTGCCTTGGTGGGAATCGCCCAGTGTGATAATAAAAAAAAATAAATATTTTATATATATTTATATATATATTTTATATATAAAATATATTATATATATATATATATATATATATATATATATATATATAAAAATCAATAATAACACTGCGCAGCCAAGGAAAACGAAACCCATGTTGTCCTGGCCTACCTCATGGTAAACGAGAACTACATGACTTTTTTAAAACCCCAGAACCACCCAACCCTACCAGAATGAATGGTGTCAAATCCTTGGCTAGCGCAGTGTTGTTACTGATCCCAAAACACAAACACACACACACACATACACACACCCCACACAACACACACACACACACACACACACACACACACACACACACACACACCCCACACACACACACCACACACACACACAACACACACACACAATATATATATAAAAATATTATATATATATATATATATATTATATATTATATATATATATATATATATATATATATATCATTTATTTATTAGCTTATAAAGATAAGAATATGATAAATATAACAAAG